GATTTCTGCTGTTCTTTTAAAAGAGGCAGTTAATGCTTAATTTTTTTTCTTTTTATTCTTATTATTTTTCTTTTTAATTTCTTGTAACTTTTTTATTTTCTTTTTTTTTAACCAATTTTGCACATTTGTATTTGGTAACCTAAAAAACTAATTTGACAACATCATGCAATACAGCAGCCATTGTTGAACTCCTATTACTTTAATTAAATTTTGTATCATTTCTAATTTTTACTATTTTGCATTCTTTAAAAAATAAAAATAAGTAAAAAAGAAAGACACTCACTTTCACAGAAACCCTTCAGAATGTTGGACAGACCAGTTTCTTCAGACACTATGGCTTTCGGTGTCACCTGACTTATTCTTCAGGAGTCACCTGCTCTTTGTGAAGGCCAGCCTACCCTGCTCAGTCCCACATGCTCAGCCCTGGGGACCAGGTTTAGCAAGGGGACAGTCCCCTTACAATCTTTAGGACTTCAGCAAAGTAATGCCTACAGGATGTCAGACATCAGACAGGACATCAGGAAGCAGGAAGGGCAGAGGAGAGGATGGAGCGAGGAGGGTGCAAAAGCTGAGGATCATATGGCTTCCTCTGTCAGACAAGTGACCACAGTGTGATTTCCTAGGACCAGGAGCAGCCTTCCAACCTGTGCTTCCAACTCAAACTGTGGTTCTAACTGTCAGTTTTACCAGGGACAGAGAGCTTTGAGGTTGCCCGTCTGTTTCTCCATAACCTCAGTTATTTGTCCTCTGTAGGCTCGGATGGGACGAAGATCCTGACATGCAAATGTCCAGCCCTTTTAAACTGTAACTTCCTCACCAGGTCATGACTAAATCTCACTACAAAGGCATGGCATACAGTGCTCAATAAATGTTTACTGAATAAATCAACTGTGTTCTCTACGAGAGCCTTACAGCAAAGCACAGAACTGAAACCTCTGCCTTCTGCAGAATAGCAAGCCTCACAGTAGAGCAAGTTAACACCTGAAGTACATACCTGACAGTATGGCACTTCCTTACAACACAGTTTTGAAATGCTGTTGAGGTTCAACTGTTGCAGTAACACCATCTATGTGATGTTAATGCTAAGTCAAAGATTGTGAACTCCCAGCTTTTCCACTTACCAGCTGAGTGGCTGACATTTCAGTTTTCTTTTCTGTGCAACGGAGCAAACAACAAACTCATGAAATTGTTGATTAAATAAAAAATCATATCCCTAAAGCGGGTGAGAAGCACTTAACTGTTAGCTAATTAACAAAGCACTTTTCATCTGATCCTCTTTTGGAGAGGGCTAACACACCCACACTTAGCTGTATTTTCATTATTTCAGAAGATCTTTTTCAGTTCTTCCTGTGGGGGCCACAGTACCTGGAAAACATGGGAGTCTAGACCAGCATAGGTGCAAAGAGAGAAGCCACTGCACTTCAGCCCCAACCAGACAGAGCTCGCTTCCTTCAGTTTCACTGGAACATGTTCAGGTTAACACGAGGGCCCAGAGAGCCTCGCCTTTCTGTCTCAGGGTCTTTGGCCCTTTCCCTAACATGACATACCCGGTTACCTAAAAGGCTCAGCACAGAACAGTTATGTTAACTCACTTTCCCAGTTTTGCTTAACCATTCAGAGCTTCTACTCAGCATGTGCTGGTGTACAGACCCATCAGATGTAGTTAGAATTATATTCTGCAGTAAAAGGGGCATGGAAGATTATTTGGGCCAAAGCAACCATAACTCAGGTACAGATCTAATTTCTTAGGCTTTGGGAATTACTATACATAGATCACAGTTAGTGCCCTCAAACTCAGGAAACAACAGTCTAGGAACACCTACTTTTTTAAAAAAGGAACCACAAAATGTGGGATATACATGTACCAAAACTTTAAGAAAAAAAGGACTCTGGCACACTAAAGCACAGATGAAGTCTCAAGGACATTATGCTAACTGGAATACGTAGGTTACAAAAAGACAAATACTCTGCAATTCTACTTACATGAGGAACACAGTCAAAATCATAAAGACAGAAAGTGGAATGATGGTTGCCAGGGGCTTGGGGGAAGGGAGCTATTCCCTAATGAACAGAGTTCCAGTTTCACAGAGTTCTCCTGGTGAAGAGTGGTGGTGGATGTAAATACAACTGTACTGTTCATTTAAAATGGTTAAGATGATAAATTTCATGTTATGTGTATTTTACAATAAAAATTGGAAAAAAGAAGGCAACAGCTTGAACACTGTGATTCTCAGGGATGGTATTAGCATTGCCTCACCAAGCCAAAAGCAGCTACATAATAGATGTTATACATCTCTACAACCAATTCCCAATTTTCCTTCTCTTCCTTCTGCTGAATGAAGTATCCTCATGTTCTGCCACTAAAAACTAGCACCTTCTGATAAATCACTGGCATGGAAAATTCAGTGGGTTTCAGCTGTCTGTCCTCTAAAGACCATGGCTACACAGATGGACTCCACAGAGAATGTGCCTCCTGCCCTATGAGTTCTCCCCACAGGCTGCAGACAGCCCCAGAGAAGACACGTGGACTCCCACACACATGCACGCGCACACAGCAACAAGGAAAGACACCTCTTTCACATTAAAAGTATTTTTTTTTTATTTTTAAAGAATATAAAATAGTGATAGAAAAGCCTTAGAAGTGAAGGGGAAAAGATATTTAGGTATATATGCAGAATAGTTTGGATAACTGTATTAATTTCTGCTGGTAATTTGGAAGCAGTTAATGTTTAAGTATGATTTTTTTTCTTAATATTACTGGTACCACCACTCTGAGTATCAGAGGGGAAAAAATCCCATTATAGATACTGTAATCCTTAATTTCTCCCAAATGAAACTGAGATGAAAATTATTTTAAAAAATGAAGACACCTGTTTCTAGCAGTAAATAAATTATAGGATATAAGAAAACTAGTTAACAGTTTCCCAATACAATGTGCTGTTAAGAGTTTGTTAAATAGTACGTTCGCCAATCCTTTTTATTTTGGCGGAACCAGGGATTGAACTCAGGCCCTTGCACTTGCTAGGAAAATGCTTATTCCACTGAGCCATCTCCCTGGCCCCAAGGGTTATTGGTTTTTGTTTTGTTTTGGTGTAACTGGGGATTGAACTCAGGCCCTTACACTTACCAGGTAACCACTTATTCTACTGAGCTATACAGCTTCACCAATATTTTCATCTAAGAATTTTCATTTTTGTTTTTCTGAGACAAACTATGTAGTGCTCGCTGGCCTTAAACTTGATTATGTAACCCAGGCTGGCTTCCAACTCACAGTGAACCTCCTGCCCCAGCCTCCTAAGTGCCAAGATTGCAGGTTTGGGCGACCACCCCTGGCAAGAGAGATTTTATAAAAGATATACATTCAACATTTACTTTTGACACTTTGGAAAAACTATACAGTATGATCAATAGGGTAATTTTTTTTAAACAGATGATATACTGCTATTGTCTTTAGTTATACTGGTGTCCTGAATCAATTCAAAACTTTCCTCTTGCAATCATTTGGACATTGGGGAAGAGACAGTAGTTGCAGCGGCAGATCTGGTGAAAAGGTGGCTGAGGACACATTGCAATATACTTCCGGGCCTGCCTCTCCACTGGATGGCACTCGGCAGCAGCACTCGCTGCATGTTTCACCACACTCCCTAGGCACAAAGAGGATTTCCAGAATTGCTTCAAAAGTGACAAAAATGACACCGTGTGCAGAGATCGAGACCACTGTAAGGGGGTTAATGGCAATGTGTTTTTTCACTATAATAATTTTTATTTAAATATTTACCATGTTTTAATCAAACCCTGGGCTTTACAGTTAGGATTTTAAAAAGCATTTAGTAATTTGAAGAATTTTTATTTTCAGAAACAGGTTTAATTGCACAAGGATGTCTTTTAAAATTATATTTTTTAAGTTACATACATCATTTTGCGATTTCGATGGACAGCCCGGCAGTTCACAGGTCGCTCACTCCTCTGCCGCAGTTCTGGCTTGCAGTCTCAAGGCTCTAGAGTGTGCTCCTTGTGTGAGCAACCTTTGCCATTTGCTGAGGGCAACAAGTGAACGCTCACAATGGTATGGCAGAATGAGCTAAAGGACGCCCAAAACTTCCAGGTTTAGCTGGAATTATATCAACTGAATATCAGTATCTCGCTGTGATTACAAAGGCCTTTATTAAACAAAATTTTATTTAATAAATCCAATTTATCAAATGACTTTTTTTTAAATACAAAATAAACGGCTAGAAAGCCATGGTATACACTCAGAGAGTGAGAAAAAGAAGTAAAATATTATCTATAGTTTCAGAGACAAAGAACAGAATGAGCAAAGACCTCATCCAAGATTTCTGGTTTCTCTGACTGTTCTCCTGGGTGCCAGCTGCTCTGAACAGCGATCTGCCTGATGGGAGTCACAGCACTCTCCCAAAAGCCACACGATACCCAAAATGATAATCACCAGGACAGAAATACCTTGAAGAAAACAAGCCAGGGCCAATTACGGGATCACGGATTTGAATGACTACATGGTGGGATGAGTAACTGCCGATCCAAAAAGGGCACTATCTCCACAAGACAAGCTTCCCACTTACGCGCTTGCAAGCCCGAAGGCGGCAAGGCGGGCCCTGGTAGGGAGCAGCAGCAATCAGACTCCGTACAAGTGAATTAAAAAGTTTATTAGGTATAGAAAAAAAGATTCTTCCAAATCAATTCCTGTTAAGTTCCTTGTAAAATAAGCTACAGAAAATTTCTTTCTCATGAAGAGAAAATTCACTATACTTTTGGTCCAAGATATGTTGGGCTTTTTCCTTCTTCTTCAGATGACAGATGGATGTAGCCGAATCTACGAACGAGTGTACTTGCCCCAAATGTGCAACATAAATACAGAAGCGATGAACAGAAGACTCATAACCAATACTGGAACAGGGCCACTAGAAATAAGAAGAAAAGCCATGCTTACTTTAGTAATAATATATTATTATATTTAATACCAAAGACTGCCTAGGGGCAAAGGAAGGGAAGGAAGTGCTCAGAAATCATCCAGGATCATTGTTTACATTATCTGAAAATGTTCCTGAAACTATCACTGTGGTAACTTTACCATTATTATGGTTGTGTTTAGAAAAGCAGAGTCCTAGGGGCCAGGGAGATGGCTCAGTAGAATAAGTGCTTCCCTGGCAAGCGCAAGGGCCTGAGTTCAATCCCTGGTTCTGCCAAAAAAAAAAAAAGGTAGAGTCCTTATCTTGTAATCAAACACACCAAAATACATACAAAAGAAATAATCTGATGTATAGATAACAATTTATACAGTGCTAATGAAACAGATCCCATCTGATCTTGCTACAAATTCATGACCACAGGTAGAAGAAATAATAACCTTATTCTCTCCATAAGCAAAACAATGAAGGTTCAGTGGAATCATTTTTTGCCTAAAAATGTATAGTCAGAGTAGAAAGGAGAGACTTGAACCCAGGTTGTCTGATTCCGCATACACTGTTCATTTACTGCCTCAAGGTTCCCATCCTCAAAGAGCAAACATTCTAGGCATCATGTTTCAGTTGGACTTAGGACATCCGTATAGAAAGGAAATAGAAATATTTTACTCATCTACCCTTAACTAAGCCAAATGATTTTGCACTTAAAAACTGATATATAGAGTTTCAAGGTGTGAATGTTCACTTTAGGCTCCATCTCTAAGACTCTTCCTGCCCATACTTGAAGAATTCAAGCTATTTCATTTCATCTCCCAGATGCAACTGGAGAGTAAAGTGGGGAAAAGAATCTTTACAGCCAAGGCAATGGAGTGAATCCTGCCAAGGAAGGAGGGCTAACAGAGATCATGACTGGACAATAAATGATGCACAGAGACTAATATCTTTGTTACACTGCTACTACTTTGTTCTTCCAAGAAGTTTATAATTAAGGGAATAAACAAACATAGGAAATCATCACACTACACTTGACCCTACTCTTACTTTAAGGCAATGTTACAGCAACATCAACCCCAAAGCATAAGGCTGAGACTGTGGCCCCCTCACTTTCTTCAGGACTGTCTCCTTGTCTACACATTGGGGATAATCAAAGTACCTATCTCATAGGATTGCTGAGGGATTAAGTATACTAATACACATGCAATGCAGGTTTACAGTAAGCACTCAGAAAATATTAAAAACCTGAAAATAATTCTAAGCTCCTAGTAAAACCCAGAAACAGGTGCAAAGACGTTGCTTGACAGCTCTAAGATACGGATGTGTGGACTCCCCATCGTGTTCTCTGACCTAAAACCCCTGTCTCTGACGGGATGAAAGTGGGTTCAGCACTGTAGGCACTGCTGCTGGTGACTCCTGGGAGGACCAGGCAACTATAGCAGCCAGCCTGCTTGGGCTGCACAGCAGCAGAAGGCCGGGAGCAGCCAGGCTGACCAGCCCATGGAACAGGCTCTTTCCGTCTTCTCAAGAAGGGTTCAAAACAAGTCCCAGGATACCAACAGAGCAAGGGAATTAAAAGTCATCCTTAACAAAGAAAAAAGTTGTCAATCACACCATCACGAACACATACATCACCAATCCTCAAAATTATCTCCGATATACATCCTTAGAAGTCTCCAATAAAAAAAAAAAAATCAATAAATGAAATAAACCAAATCTCAAGGAGTCTAGGGAAGCTTTCATGAAACTATGCTTATAATCTAAGTCAAGCATCTGGTCCAAGTAAACTATCCATTTTTGTCTCTACCAGACAGGCACTATGGAAAGAGCATGAGACTTTATAGCTAAAATAACCAGCTCCATCCCTTGCTGTTTGTTTCTAGGGTCCTCCTTTTGCCTCTCGGAACATGAGGGTCTGGGTCTACAAAATGAGGTATTTCCCACCTCATAGGTTTACTGTGCAAATCAAACTAGAAAGCAGCTATTAAAGTTCTTTACACACTATTTTGTATTCTCTTTAAAAAATAAAAGTTCTGGCCAGGCTGACAGCTCAGCAAACTAAAGTGCATGCTTAGGCAGAGTGCAACAGCTGGGGTTCAATTCCCGGCGTGTTGCACCGGCCCCACTGGCAGAGTACACTGACATGGCAATTGAGACTGGGCATAGTAGCTTACGCTTGTAATCTCAGCATTTGGGAGGCTGAAACAGGAGAATCACTGCAAGTCCAATCTACTAGTGAGACCCTGTAGACCCTGTCCTAAATACAGAAAAAATAAATAAATGAAAATAAAAGTTCTTTGCAAAAACCCAAAGTGCTATGTAAATGAGAAAATGAGATTTGCTATTATTAGTTCAATTCCTTATCCGCTGGGTTGAGTTAGGAAACAGCTGTGAACAGTGGTGTTCAGGAGCCCACTCTCATCAGAAACCTGTGGATTAGTCTGCCATGGGAGCTAAATGGGAAACGTGGGGAGCCAAGCATGGGGACAGCACCTCTTAGATATCCACTTGCCACCACAGCAGCACTCCTGGGCCTAAGAACTTGAGACGTGATCCCAGGTCCACTCACCACCCTCCCAAAGCAAGAAGGCCACAGAGCTTGTGATAACACAGACTAATTGAAAAACTTCCATTAGGCTGTAATAATATCAGCTTATGCCTCTAGGAGAACTCTGAAAAATCATCCAATTCCTATTCAGATGGTTGTTCCTACTTCTCACTGTGGGGCAAGAACACCAAATGAAGAACAATTTCATCTAATTAAGCAGTGTTCCCTCCAGTTCTCTCTGTTCCCATCACTTACTCTGACACAGCTACACAAAGATCTTCCTTCCTTTTCACTAACTCTATGAAGAGATGTCACGCAAGCCCTAATCATTCTAATCAGTTGATGAACAAGCAAGCCAAACCCAGCCTACCTCGCACAACCAAGCGGCCGTGTGTTGTCCATCTCCTAAAAACAAGTACCAGTCTCGGCAGAGACACACTGCTCTGCCATGCTTTGCCACAGTAGACAGATACACAAGGCCTGCTCCCAAGACTTACACTTTGAGCCCCGGTGAATCCTCTGTGTAAAATCGCCACATTCCCCCAGTGCCTGCCGAGGTCGTGCGGCCCGCACTCCTCGTGCCACAGCTGGCATTTTTCCTGAAAGAGAAGAAAGTGTTAACCACAGCCTTTTCTTAAAAAACTTTATAATAGCATTATAACACATGCTACCACTATATGGTGAATCAGCAATAAAAAAAACTTCATTGCTAGTACAGATTCAAATGCCTGCTTTTAATCCACAGACCCAAAGTACTATGCAGTATCTTATATGCTAATGCATACACTAAACCTGCCAAGTAGTTACCATTTCCTGTTTTATGTTTGAGAAAAATTACACTCAGCAGTGGTTAAGCAACGCTTGAGCCCACATGAGCAGAAGGTGGCCGCGTGAATGTGGGCTGACCCAGTTCTGACTCAGATCCCATGGACTGCCCACAGCTGGGCTCCTCACTTGGACATTTGAGTTTCCTTCCACATGCGGCTCTGTGAAGGCAAGTAAGAAACTGCTCTTCAAAAGCCCCTGAATCTATAAAAGCCAATCTTAAAATGTCTACTTTAAAACTTACCTTTAAACTATTGTGCTTGTAGGATGAGACAAAAAAACATTTAGCTTTCATTATATATGAGTACTAGAAATAGAATATGCATTTTATAGAAAAATATTTCCTACTGTGCTTTTGCTATTTCATTACAATGATCACAGATCTTGGACACAGGCAGGATGTGACAAAATGTAGAAAACACCCAAGCAGAAGTTGTGCCCTGCAAAAGGATCAAGGCTCATGAGATGAGCTGATGCAGGCAGCCCTGGCGGGCAGAAGTCACTTATGGCACTGACTCTGCGGACAGGGGGAAGCCTACGGAATCCTTCCCCTCTCCTCTAGGAGAGCCTCCCACTCACTAAGCAACCTCACCTAGCAGCTCTCCTCCCACATGGCACTACCCAACCTCAGTGGCTCATCTCACCTGTGTTAGAGCAGTATAACATGGTAAGGAGAAGTCAAAAACTCTTCTTCAGCCCATTTATCTCTGACCCAGAAGCCCAAGGTGAGGAGAAATGTCTGGTTCCATTACTGCCCCTACTAGCAACTAAATCTCAATATACCTTCCCTTAAAATACCATTCTAGTAGGTGTGGGTTGGTGATGCTGGATTTTTTTTTTAAAAAAGGAAGAACATACAGAGAATAAATCCAAGTGAAAGCTCAGTCTCTACTATCTCTTCTCTCTTTCCTCCAAACTCTGGTCCTTGGGTACTGCATCCTACCAAGGCATTTGCATCACAATGAACGTAAGAAGCACTGGCCACAGCCCAGGGAACCTGCCAGTGAGCAGAACAATGGAGTCTTGGTTTCCTGAACAGTGGAGTTCAGGCTCTAGTTTCAAGACCCATGCTCCTGAGAGAACTTTTAATAGTAGACCCAAATAGGGTCTACTGCACAAAGTTTGCATTTCAGATAAATGAATTACAGGCCACAGTTCCTTGGCATTTCAAACTCCATTTGTATGACTGTTTCTAAGGAAAATCTGAAAATAAATAAAATAAAAAATAAAAATCTGATTGTGAATAGCCAATATAATTTGCTATTTAGAGGATTATACAGGGATTTAGAGTAAGTTGTACACTTAGACATCCACTACATTTAACTTATGGGTAGATACCTAAAATTTTCAATTTTCTTCCTTCTTCATAAAAAAAAACGAGTTAGAAGATAAGTTTAGTGCCAACACAGAAAGCCATCAGCTGACCCTGTGCTTGACATCACTATAATTTTTGGACTCCAGTTCCTTTCTTTAAAAGTTGGAACTACTGGGCCCGGGAGATGGCTCTGTGGAATAAGCGCTTCCCTGGCAAGCTCAAGGGCCTGAGTTCAAACCCTGGTTCTGCCAAAAAAAAAAAAAAAAAAAGTTGGAACTACTGAATCTGTAGTGCAATTAGTGTGAGCTTTTTAAAGACTTCTCACCTTTGCTGGCACACAGGCAGTGAATCTGAAAACTGAGGGTCTATTTTACTCTTTTTCTCTGGCCAATATGCCTTCCTATACTTAACAAAATGGTGTTCAGACTTAATCATTTACATTTTACTCTAGTACAACAGCCTTCTGGTTGTTCCTTGAAGCCAATTTCAGTGACCTGCCTTTATACTTAACCATTCCTGTTGCCTAAGAAGTCTGTTCCTGCCTGTTCCTGCCTATACCATTCTATGATTTGCCCCCTTGTTTCTTTCAGTTCTCTACTCAAATGCTACCCACCCTGAACACTCTTTTTAAAATAATTATCAACACTTACCCTATACTTACCACTCTGTATCCCCTACCAGGCTATATTTTTCTTCATAGTCCTTACTGCCTGAAATTACACCACTTATTTGCCTCTTATGGTCTCCACACTAGAATAAAAAGTTTCTTAAGCAGTGCTAGGCATGTAGTAGACCCTTGGTAACTACTTGATGACTACTATAACAACCCTATGTATTACTCCACCATCTTAATGTCCCTCATTCCCATAAATTCTGCTTGAACACTGCACAACTTCACAGTTTCACCATTTATAATGCATCAGTGCTACTTTGTATCCTCAAAGCAACTTCCTGTTATACTATATTAAGCAGGACAAGGGTTCCAACCCAGCCAGACCTCTAATCTTACACTGTTTCTTCTCCAAGGTATTACTTTATTCAGCATATAGAATACAAATCTGCCAACTATATAATTCAGACTTACTGTTAACCACTAGTTTCAACTTTTTCTCAAAGACTTATGAATACATAGCATGAATATATTCTTAGATAACTAATATTATACTCATGATATTAAACTTAACCAGTCACAAACAAGAAAATATTGAGGGTGTTTCAGTATATACAACTCTCATTACACTGGCTCTACCATACTAAATTCTAAAGGTACTATCAATACTTTAACTTAAAAAGCCCTAGTTATTGTTTCACTTGTTGTTGGTTATTTCATTTGTATTATGTGAGCTATTTGGTAACAATTACATCTGATAAACATATGTTTTCCTTTTCTTTAAAAATTCTCACACAGCAAAACTTCTAAGCCTCAGTACTACCACTTCTCTTTTACCCAGAACCATTCCTCCAAGGAACTATACATGTCTGTAAGAAAAAATTGCAGCGAACAATCTCAATCTAGCATCAGGAAAGCACTCCAGGGGCATAGCATCCAAACCACAGCCTTAGGCACTTTCCTGGAACAGCTCAGTGAAAAGAAACCCATAACCGTTAAGGTACCTTACACCATTTCTGATAATTTTGTTCACAATTTCTTTCTCTGAGTTGCATTGTTTCATGTATATTCAAATCACCACTATTAGATTTATGATTAAAAATTTAGATTTTCTATTAAAGGCAACAAGAAAAGCCTCATCCTATAATCCTCAGATAGAAGGATCACCTTAAATTCAAGGTCAGCCTGGGCTACAAAGTGAGTTCAAGGCCAGCCTGAAGTACAGAGAGACTGCCTCAAAAAACAAAACAAAAAACCTCTTCACATTCTTAAAGTATTCTTGCATCCCTTCAAGACCTTCTCCTCTCTAAATAAAACCTTACCTGGTTCTTCAAAAATCCAAAAACAAAAGGGTTACTCCATTCATTCATTCATAATTCACTACATCAGGACTTACAAGAGACGCCTGAGATAGAAGTTTATTTTATTGAAGTCTAGCAAAGGCCATAAATAAGCAAACATAAATGACTCTATAGCAACACAAACCAAATGCTATTGGGAGCAAAAGCAGTGCAGTCTGCAGATTAGGGGTCTCCAGAAGAAACAACCATGGGCTTTGCCTTAGAAAATAAATGGGAAATATATGAGGGGCAGCCAGGCTGGGAGGCTGGTGAGTTCAGAAAAAGCTTTAAGCTCACTATTACTGACTAAATCACAGGAAAAAGGAGAAAGGTAAGACTACAAAGACCACCAAGAGGCGTGAGCTCCACAGCCTCTTGTAACATTTGCCAACAAGAATCTAACAGAGAAACAAAGCTGAAAAGTAACAGCTAACTAACTTAATGATGGACTGGATATGGCCTGAACAGGAGAGGTAGCAAATTAAAATATGAAAGAAAACAAAAAAGGATAAGCAAAGTTAAGAGTTAAATTGGGGCTGCAGAAATGAAGAACAAAAAACTCGTAAAAAAAAAAAAAAAAAAAGTTTCCGTGCTGAATTTAATGTATAGCATATGCCTGGGGATTACGAAATCTGAGATGACGCTCAAGTTTCTGGTTTTGTGTAAATGAGTGTACAGCAGTACCATCTAGAAATAAGTTTGGGAAGGAGAAGCTAGGGCGTGTCTGGGACGGTATGTAAACAGAGTTGGGTTCAGTGCTTCTTGATGGACATAAGGCAAAGCTCAGGTCCAAAGACTCCAGCTTAAAGACATAAATTGTAGCTGTCGAGTTTAATTTTCCTTTTTAAGAAGCGCGAATCCGAGCAAAGGAAATGATGCCTCCATGGCCACGTCACCTCAGGTGCATCTTGCCCTTGTGAGTCGCACGGTCCTGGGGTCTCCTTCCCTGGACCGTGGAATTCTTGGGCCGCATCTCCCCACATCTGCAACCTAGCGGAGCGCGGGGACCCTTACCTCTGCCGGACCGTGGATCCTGCAGCCCGGGCGGCAACTGCTTTGCTGGGAGAACGCCCCGACGAGCCCACGTTAGTGCCACTCGGAGTCGGACCGGGCTACGTAGGGAGAGACAGACGGTGAGCGGCGCGGCCCCGCTCCCGGACCGCCCGCCCCCCAGCACCAGCACAAAAGGCTAGGGAAACAAGGACGTCCAACAGAAAGGGCTAAAGCATAAGGTAGGAGTCAGGAGGGACAGACAGGGAAGGCTGAGGCCATATACCATGCTGGAGGACGGAGACGGGAAAAACGGTGCACCGGACCACAAAGAGGTTGCCCCACCAGAGAAGGACCGGCGCCTGGAGACACTGGCTCGGGCCCTGCCCCCAGGCTCGCTGGCAGGGTCCTTGCTGACTCCAGGACCCCTGGGTTGTCCCACTATATGCCTGTAGAAATTTTGATGAAGGAGACCTAGACAGCCGATGAATAGAAACTATAGTCCCTTTGTCTCATTTCTTTGGATCGCACTGTATTTCATATGACTCAATCCTTCCTAAAAGGAGAAAATAGCCTAGGTCAGACGATAAATTATCTTCGGCAATTATTAAGCCCCCATAGATTTACGCTGATGTGGCCTAACTAACGCATGCGCGGTGGAGTGGTGTCGGCCCTAAGCTGTCAGAAGGGTTCTAGGGGCGGAACCTGCGGAAGCCCGGAGGGGCGCCGGGCGCCGGAGCTGCTTGAGTCATGGGTGAAAGGCAGGGCACAGATCGAAACGCTGATGCCGGCCCGTCGGTGCTGTTCCTGCACCCAGACCTGGGCGTGGGCGGCGCCGAGCGGCTGGTTTTGGACGCGGCGCTGGCGCTGCGGGCGCGGGGCTGTCGCGTGACGATCTGGACGGCGCACTATGACCCCGGCCACTGCTTCGCAGAGAGCCGGGAGCTGCCGGTGCGCTGCGCCGGGGACTGGCTGCCCCGCACCTTGGGCTGGGGCGGGCGCGGCGCCGCCGTGTGCGCCTACGTGCGCATGGTCTTCCTGGCGCTCTACGTGCTCTTCCTCGCCGACGAGGAGTTCGACGTGGTGGTGTGCGACCAGGTGAGGGAGCCGCGGGCCTCCGAGGGAGATCTGTGCGCTGTGGGCTCCGAAAGGCCGGGACTGGCCCGCAGGAGCCCGCTGAAGTGAGGCCTGTCGAATTTAGCGTGGACCCAAAGTTGCACATCGCGGCTCTGTCCCTTTTTTTAGGGAGCTTTCAGATGGGGCCCGGACATTGCACTTTAACTGGGTCGGCACGTTACTAAAGCAGGTGAGACTTCGGGCCCCACTCAGGAATGCTAGCATGAGATGTCAGCTGCAGTTATCTTTTACATCTGAGAAACCCGTGTGTTGCCGTCCTTCTTTTTCGTTATTTTTGTTGACTTTACTTCCAGGTCATTCACATCCTGCTGTCAGTACTCTTTCCAGCCAAACACCCTACTACTCATTATAGCGTCAGGTATTAACACTAAAGCTAAACGCGTCACACCCGTTTTAAAAATTTTACATCGTTCCCCAATGGAGAAAATTCCAAGTCCTGTACCTTGATAAATAGCTAGATCTGCTCTGTAAATATTATAGATTTTTTCTTATTTTTCCAACTCCCGCTGTTTTATTTTAAACAGTAACATTTACCCAGCAATAAAATTTACACAGTATTAAAAAGTGTAGTGTGAAAGTCTCATCCTAAAAGGATAGTGTAAAAGTCCCAGAAGATAGCCATTGTCAAATTATTCCTGTATTTAGCCTAGAAATTGGCTACACTGATGTGTGTTAATAATCCCATCTGTGTACATAATTGGGTTTGTGGCATACTTTACATTGTATACTTTTGTGTGCGAAACACTTGTATTTGGGACATCCTTATATATCAGTATTAGAGATTTACTTTGTTCTAGTGGCTACGAAATACACTTCTGTTTGAATATACCATGATTCATACATTCTTCTGTAAAAGGGCAGTGACATTGCCATCATTTGGGTGTATTTAGATCAGTGCTGTCATGAATATTCTTATGCTTTTTTGTTTTACGCTTCTGCAAGCTTGTCATTTGAGTAAATTCCTCGAAATAAGTTGTGAGTCAAAGTGTAGTTCTGTTGAAATGTCAGTAGAAGTTGCCAAATTTGCCTTCTAGAGTTTTTCATATCCTCTTTTCCATACTGGATGTTATCCACCATTTTAATTACTGCCAAACTGATAGGTAGAAATAGTATGGCCCCTTCCTTTCTGTTTATTAAAGTGTGACTTCTGAATTACTCTTGATTATCTTAAAAAGAAAAAAATCCATTTCTTTTTAAGAAACATGGACATTCAGCCGAGCATGGTGAGCATATCTGTAATTCCAGCATTCTTGAGAGACTGAGGCAGAAAGATTGCAAATCTGAGTCAAGCCTGGGCAGCGTGGCAACTTAACAAGACCCTGTCTCAAAAAATAGGTGGGGGTTGAAAGGTCTCAATACAAAGGCCCTAGGTTTGATCCTCCTGTGGAAAAAAAAAAAAAGTAATATTTATCAAACATTCTGAATGTGTCTGTCAGTAAATATGAAGCAGCTGAGATGTACTAAGTAGAAAAAAAAGAGGAGACCTGGGAGTAGGAGTGCTGGATTCAAGTTCCGTACCCACTGTTTTATGTAGCTTTGGATAAATTGCACAGTATCCCTAAAACAGAACTTCTTTGGGTATTATTTAAATGAGCTAGAGATTACATAATTTGTAAAGGTTCCCAATAGTATAGTCTCTAGAAATATGAGCCTATAATTCACACTTAGTAATCATTATGGTTAATAATTACTTACACATAACGTATGTTAAAGTTTTGCACATATCAGCAGTGCATTTCATAATAACAAAAACTGGGTTTTTCAAACTGTGATTGTTGGGGCTGGGGAGATGGCTCAGTAGAATAAGCACTTCCCTGGCAAGCTCAAAGGCCTGAGTTCAATCCCCGGTTCCACCATAAAAACTGTGATTGTTATTCTGCATACATTGAAGCTTAGGGAGGATTAGGGTAGGTTTATTTTTTGTTTTGGTGCTGAGAACCCAACTAAGGGCTTCCAGCTTGCTAGGCAAACATTCTATTGCTGAGCCACATCCATAGCCCCACCCCAGCAAGGATTAGATTACTTAATCACAGTCACAATTAGAACTAAAAAATCAAATCCTGGAAATCTTACTACAGATCTAAGCTACTATAGTTCTTTTATTAGTTCCTCAAAAGGAGCTAAATCAGTCCTTTAGAAGGATGTAGATCACAGAGCTGAACAGCCCAATATGATGCCCATTGTATATCTTGAGTATTTAAAATATGGCTGGACTGAACTGATACGCTAAATTGTAAAATACAAGCTTGATTTTAAAGGTTTAATATGAAAAACCAAGGTGTTTCATTAAGATAGTTCAATATTAATTATATTTTGAAAGTGCTTTAGTAAAGCATACTAAAATTAGTTTCATCCTCAGAAGAACCTTAATGTTATTATATTTTTATTTTATTTCTATTGGACCACTCTGTCCAAGGGGAAGTCACTAGGCTTAAAGCGTCCGTGTGTAGCGCATGTCCTGCAGCTGTCTGCCAGCCTTCTGCAGCAGTCATTGTACTGGGTGTAGAGGGGGGCAGTGCAGAGGAGAATTAGACATTACCCATGAGGAGCCCCCACACAAGGCAGGGTGGGGATCTGCTTCTGATGGATTTTCAGCTAACAGTTTTATTTCCTGTTAATTTTACCTTGGCTAGGTGTCTGCCTGTATCCCGGTGTTCAAGCTGGCCAGACGTCGTAAAAAGATCCTATTTTACTGTCACTTCCCAGATCTGCTTCTCACCAAGAGAGATTCTTTTCTTAAACAGCTGTACAGGGCCCCAATTGACTGGATAGAGGAGTATACTACAGGCATGGCAGATTGCATCTTGGTTAACAGCCAGTTCACGGCTGCAATTTTTAAGGAAACTTTCAAGTCCTTGTCTCATAGAGACCCTGATGTACTCTACCCATCTCTGAATGTCACCAGCTTTGATTCAGCTGTTCCTGAAAAACTTGATGATCTAGTCCCTGAAGGAAAAGAATTTCTGTTCCTCTCTATTAACAGATACGAAAGGAAGAAAAATCTGAAATTGGCCCTAGAAGCCTTAGTGCAGCTACGAGCGAGATTGACTTCTCAGGACTGGGAAAGGGTTCATCTGATCATGGCGGGTGGCTATGACGAAAGAGTCCAGGAGAACGTGGAGCACTATCGGGAACTGAAGAAGATGGTCCAGCAGTCTGACCTTGGCCAGTATGTGACCTTCTTGCGGTCATTCTCAGACAAACAGAAAATCTCACTCCTCCACGGCTGTACCTGTGTGCTTTACACACCGAGCCATGAGCACTTCGGCATCGTCCCCCTGGAGGCCATGTACATGCAGTGTCCAGTCATTGCTGTCAATTCAGGTGGGCCCTTGGAATCCATTGTCCACAGCATCACAGGCTTTCTGTGTGAGCCTGATCCGGTGCACTTCTCAGAAGCAATAGAAAAATTCATCCGTGAGCCGTCCTTAAAAGCTACGATGGGCCTGGCAGGAAGAGCCAGAGTGGTGGAGAAATTCTCATCTGAAGCATTTACAGAACAGCTCTACCAGTGTGTCACAAAGCTGCTGACGTAAATCAGACTCTTTTAAGGTTCCTTGTGGGACCTTCACTGACATTATTTTTATGGATTATAAACCCAGTTTTGATACCAGAGGAGATATTTTAAAAATAAACTTGAGTCCTGAATCTGAACTACCTTCCTGTATATAACACGTTCCTGTGTACCTTTTCAAAAATAGTATCTCTTATTCTATAATCATTCTAGATATTATCATGCTATAATAATTTATTTTTTCTGGATTGTCATTGCTTTGCCTATAAATTTTGACTCATACCGTGCCTCAGTTGGTTTTGTTATTCATGATCAAAAGTTGATTAATTTGATAGAACACTTGCCTAGTGTGTGCAAGGCCCTTTGTTCAATCCCCAGCACTAAAAAAAAAAAGTTTGACTTTTTTTTTGGAAATGGGGTCTCACTATGTATTTCAGGCTGGCCTTGACCTCAGCGATCCTTCTGCCTCACGCTCCAGAGTGCTGGGATTACAGGTGTGTGCCACCACACCTGGCATTTTGACTTTATAGTATAGTAAGAATAGAGTTTCAGCAGTGTCCAGAATCAGTGTTCACTTTCCTATGTTAGTGGAATGTTTGGTGGTCAGACTTTTGCTTGGATTCATAGCAAGAGTACTTAGCTTATTTTTCGTACAAAGATGATTTATTTTCTCACACGGCAACATTACCATAAAAGATGTTTAGCATAGAAAGAAACAATAAAAGGTTATAGCCTCCATGACC